AAATGTGTCTCGCCACGGGAAGCGTTTATTAGTGCTTCTTCGTATAGCGCGGAGGAGCGTTTCCATTCCTGTATTTGGGACGAAATGAGCCTCGACATCGAAGTAAACGTTTCACTAGCTCTTTTCGTGTTGCTAGGAGTTAAGGTAGACGTCTTGACACGCTTTCTTGATATTTTCATTTTTCCCTTGGTTGTAATTCCAATATTCTTTTTCAGATTTCAGGTTCACAGGGATGCTCATTAGCCACAGGTAAGGTTTTTACCGGAATAAAAAAGACAAACACATTTTTCACTGCTGTTTCCTTTCGGTATCTGCATGGAGGCAATTTAACAAAAGTAAACAAAAGGCAATATTTCTACAAGCGTATGCATGAGTTTTCTATAGTCATCGTCTGCAAATATACAACGAAGACTGCCGAAAATTGAACTTCTACTTGCCGCGAATTGAAACGAACAAATAACGTGAGTTGGTTAACGATTGCATTCGGTATATAATAATATATAGAAATATCTAATTTTGTATTTTTATTGCAGATATCTATTTTGACTTGCATGGTCTCCTATTTTGTTATTTTACTTTTTGCCGGAAAGCTCGAGGGGGGTACGAAAGGCGCTTTCTTGTTGTCAAATTTTCATCATAACAAGTTATTTTACCGCACAAGGATCTTAATTTGTTTTCTTTGAAAGACGTGACGAAAACACAATATCAAGAGTAGTTGAAAATTCAGCAGCTGTTACCAGACTTTTTAAGTGAAGCAATACCTGAATTTTTTTCTGTAGCCACAGTAAAGATTAATAAAATTACGTGAAATGAAAAAAGAAAAATGTTCGCATTCAGTCGTTGACTCAGGATCAATGGTCCCTGCATGAGCAGCGACATACTGATGCTTATTTATCATCGTCACTGAATGGGGAAATTCTTCACATAAACTGACAGTTTTCCACATTTGCATATACACAATTTCATCCGTCATTCTGTAGAAAGAGCCAGAATTTTCATTCCGCGGTCCATAATAACATCCACTTATATGAGCACGTGCATAAAATACTTAACAGTTAGTGTGCCAATATGGTGA